GTGCTAACCACTGCTCCACCGTTCAGCCCTAAATCTCAGCATGCATGTTTTTAATAAGACTGAAGAATACGTAGATTTTCCTAGTGGACAATGATAAGTCTTAAGATAAAGTAAACCACTCTTTGTATTACATGTAACTCGATGTTTTGACCTGGTCTATGTAACAGATGGATTAGATCACTTACAAATCATCTTGTTTACCTTCAGCACATGTGCATTCCTCGTTTCTACAGATGCGCAGCAGTTCTCCACCTCTCCTCTCTGGATGGTAAAATTTCATACAATGTGCTTCTGCAAACGGGGCATAGAAACGTTTTGAGCGGCTTGCAGGTCTGGAAGCTTAAAAGTGGCAAACCTGCTGGTACGTTTGTATTCGAGGCAGACAGGGGCAGCACATTTTTTTGGATAATCTTTGAAGAAACTCACTACTTCTGTATTGACTGCCGGTGTATTCATAGACAGACACGGCTGCTGGTTGTAAGACGCCCACTTTAAGCTTCTGATGGATCCTAAAAGTGATCTCCTCTGGATGTGTGTGAGAAACCTGTGGGCAGATGTAACGTAAATAAATAATGGAAGAAAAGCATGTAGGGGGATGGAACACTGATCTCTTACCGTGTCCAGGTAGATGATGAGGGAGCCTCTTTCTGACTGGACCGAGTCCATGGTATATTTTGCAATAGTGCGGGCTCGTCCTTTGGCCAACTAAACACACACACACACACACACACATCCATTAAGTTTATATATTCGAGTCCAAACATTCAAAGCATATCCTGACTTTAGTAACCATGTGTGCGCACATGTATGCGTGTGTCTTACTAAGTTCAGGTCTTTTGTGTTCACAACAAAACCCGTCAGCAGGCCGATATCCAACACTGTCATGGTTGCATTGCGCTTCTTGTCCTTATGTCTGTGCACAGAATGGGCAGAAATGATTGAAATAAACAGAGAAGGAATTGGCAAGTAAAACCGTTCATCAAACATAAAAAGGCATACATTCTATAAGGTTACAGAGAGACGCATTTTTAAATATAGTTCTATATTAATCATTTTCTAAGGAAACCGATTTCTTCATTTCGCTAAGAAAGATTGTGTGATATAATAGAAAGATCCAGAAAAGCAACCAAATGATTTCTTATTTACTGAGGGTGAGTAATCATGAAGTAGAGGGCATTTGAAATTGCATCAAATTCAGTAGAGTTGCTGGTGCCATTTTTCTTTCAATAACTTAAATAACACAAACATAAAGGTCTTCTGACAATATGTAATGGAAACATTGTTAAAAGGCCTCTTTTTCCTCTCTAGCTCGTAGCTCTTATTGATAATATTGTGGAAAATTGTGTTAAACTTTATATAATATGGTGAATATTAGAGTTCCACCAGATTTTTCGAGGAGAAGCACAAATGTGAAAGCTTTATACAGTGGACAGAAAACTCCGGAATCACTTTTTATTTGTGGTTACACATGGCTTTGCATAGTTTTTCAATCAATCGTAGAAATGCTGGGAGAACTGGGAATGTTCTTAAGACAAAGCCGCTTTAGATAACCTCAAGCTTTTTCCTTTGACCCCTATTCTTGGAATCTAATGCAACCTGCACACAAACATGCTGAGCTAGCTGAAAGTCACTCCACCAGCATGACATAGTTAGCGTAAAAACACAAATGCATGAAAATAAAATGAATAATTAGATAATTGAAGTATAAATAAATGATAACCTGATAGTGTAGAATTCAGTTTTTCAACTAGTTTTTCAAATCTCACTCTGACCCAAGTTTGTTCATTTTAGCCTTACAGGGGTTGAGTTTGTTACCAATGGTGTTCTGAAATAGTTTTCAGGTTAAATCAAAACAAAACAAAACAAACTGCCAGAGGATTAAGGGGTTAAAAACAGGTACAGCAGAATCACAAGACAGATTGGGAACGTTTTGCATAAAGCATTTTTTTTGAATAAATGATTTCATCTGTACTTACAAAACCTCTATTTTCAGCTTATATATGCTCTCATCCTTGTCCATCTTCTCTGGAGAGACAAAACAAGACATGAAACAACAATGAAACCTCTGCACCAAGATTGACAGTCAGCAGAAAACAAGAAGCAGACAAATGTTATAGCATATAAAGACGGATATATATATATATATATATATATATACAGTATATATATCTCACACTGTCACCTAATAATCTTATTTCAATAATGCAACTGGGAATATCAAAATGGATAAGAAATGTAGAAACTATGTGGTGAATCTGTGTTTTCATTTCATCATGTCTGTCCTTGTCATTTGGGACAGATTTCCAGATTAGTATTTGTTTTTAAATTGCTGTGGTGGGAGAAGTTACGGGAACTTTATGGGAAAGTTTATGCATCCTTGGGAAAATTGCACATTTGTATCTCTCTCTATATTTAAAGCACACATTAAAACTTTGGTCTCCAAACTAAGGGTGAAACTCGGTTTTTATTACAGAAATAAGGCATGCTTTTCTCTAAAAGCACAAAAGTTTCTGATATCAGCTACTTTCTTGCCCGTTTTTCATTACGGTGATGTTGTTTAAATGTGTGCGTCAAGCAGCTGTCTTCAGTCCTTGACTCCGGTCTACCACTGTGTGCTTTGAGGTTTATAACTGATTGTAGTCGCCTCACTCACCACTGTGAACTGTACTCTAAAGCTGGCTTGCCTTCCTTGAATCAAAGACGATACACACATTGGATGACTCTGATCTATACGACTCTTCTCGGATTGGTTCCTGCTTATTTAAGCTGCTCTCTTCAGAGAATTACAAGCTGGTATGTCTTATGGTCAAATGACATTCTGCATCTGGCTGCTCCTCGAGTTCAGAATGAATTGGGAAAAAAAGCTTTCAGTTTCTCTGCCCCCTCTGCTTGGAATACCCTTCAGTCGGGGCTAAAAATGTCAGAACTCATCTCCCCTGAAGCCTTTCACTCTTTCCATCGACAACAGAATTCCATTCAGCATTGCTTGTGTTTTTAAACTGTTACTGAAGTCATCCCTCCTGCACTTTATCTGCTTACTGTCTACACTTTACATTTTTTAATGTTTATTTTGTGATTGTTTTGTTGTGTTTATTTGTGGACGGGTGCTGCTGCCTTTCTTGGCCTGGTCACCCTTGTGAAAGAGGTTTCCATCTCAATGGGTCTTTTATCTGGTTAAATAAAGGTCAAATAAAATATATAAACAGACAGTCGGCATCAAGTTACCTGGGATAAGCTGCACTGACAGGTTAAACATCTGACAGTCGCCGTCCGTTTCTTTAGGCAGGGCGTAATACAGAGACACCATCTGTCAGAGAGGTGCAAGTGGATTCTTAACTTTGCATTTGATAAGCAAATAAGCATCGATATCATAAAAAAAATGATCACATGTAGTTAAAATGTCTTTGGCCTCGTCTGGGATTAAAATAAAACTCAGATCAAAAATACGTTTTACTTACTGTCAGTGTTACTTCCCCTTTCCCCGTCGCAGTCACCTTCACATCCTGGTTTATATCATTAATCTTTGGGGATTAAAACAAGCACATACACAGGGATGAGAAACCAACAGCGATGATAATCATGTTGAGTCCCTGTGAGTTTGTGTGAAACAGAGAGCGTGTTCTCACTTTGGAAGTTCTTGTGGCGTGGTGGTTTTCCCAGTTGAAGTTGTACTTGACTGGCCTCGTTCTGCCCGGCAGCAAGACGTCCACGTTCAGGAAGTAGTCGGAGTCTTTGTCACTGAACCAATACTCTGTTACAGCCTGGTACACTGTCATGGTGGCCTGGTGGAGATTAGATCAAAAGTTTGATCTACGTGCAACAAAAGAGCCGGAGAAACAAAACGCAGCGATGCAAAGAGAGAGAGAACAAGAGTTGTAATAGTTGCCTGAGTTGATCCGTAGCCTCCACGCTCTCTCAGCTGACGGTTGAACCATCTAACAAGAGGTCTGGCATCTTCAAAGGCCTGTAATTAAGAAGACAACAGTAAAAATACAGTTTTTAGGGGCTGCTTGTGCATTAGATACACTGTAAAATCTATCTATCTATCTATCTATCTATCTATCTATCTATCTATCTATCTATCTATCTATCTATCTATCTATCTATCTATCTATCTATCTATC